CCTTTACCCCTCCTCTGGGTTCCTGACTCTCTATGCACCCTGTCTACTGCGACTCCTTGGCTCCTTCTTGCTGCAGTCTTTCAGCCACACCCCCGATCTTTGGGTAGGTAAGATCTATCACCTAACCTTCTCGGATAAGGGTGAAAAATCTCGGAGGTTCCGTGTGCAAGTTGTGCATGTTAAAGATCCATTGGTGGTCCAAAGTCAATAAGAGTAGGGTTCGGCTGCCACCAGGGCAAAATTCAAAATTAATTTTCCTACCAAACCGAAGAAGTTTAATGTGTCCCACTCGTTCATATGACCTCTCGCAGTTGCGAACACCGTAAAATGCTTACCAGACTTACCGATATTATTTTCGAACAATGCGTTCTATTTGCGAGCACTCACTTTTATTTGTTATGACATGTTGATCTGTGGACTACGCTTACTGGCTAGGCCTAACCAATCTCAAACGACAGACACCCGCGATTTCAGCACTCAGCGGTGTTGTCGGCTGTGAAGAGTGAAGAGTGGAGTGAGTAAAGAGCATAGGCCTAGGCCTAGGCCTAGATGTACACTAGATCTATAGGCACTTTAAAGAGGAAATAACTCTGTTGTGAAGAGTTACCGGACTTGAGAAATACTTGCCATCCATCACCCACAAAGGCAGTGCATACAAACAGGAAAGTAGGCTTGCTCATTGCTCAGTCACTGGCGCGCATTTTCGTATCTGCTTCGTTCTGTGCGTGTGTGTCTGTGTCCTGTGTGTGTGCGTTGTTCAACTGGTTCAATGTTGGGACCGCACAACTAGCATAGCCTACAGACTCGCGCCAGCGACTACAGTGTGTGTGTGAGTGTTTTATTTTTTAATCTTTTCTTTTTGTTTCTTGCTTAAATGATTTCTTTAGTTGGTTCTTGATCTATATAGATCTAGATCTAGATCTAGATCTAGAATCTAGATGGCTAAGTCTAGGCTAGGCTTATCTATTCCCACGTAGGCTGGACAACATGGCAATGATGATGCCCGTTGATGGATAAACTGACGTCAATTTTCCTGGCGCACGGATAGTCTATTATAATAATATTGTTTCAAGTTGCAGCTTTCTGGATGCTTCGAAAATCTTTTAGATCTACTGTTGCAGGAGTTTGAACCAGAATTTTAATCTAGAATTTAGATCTAGATCTAGATCTAGATCTAGATCTAGAATCTAGATATCTAGGATATCTAGACTAGATAATCTAGACTAGAATCTAGATCTAAATCTAGAGGGACAAGCCAACTTAGGCATAGATTCTAGATCTAGACCTAGATATCTAGCAACCGAACTGGTGGTGTCTGTTTAGCCTAGATCATAGGTTTTAGAATTAAGCTCCGCAGTCTGAATACATGTAGATTAGAATCTCTAGATCTCTAGATCTAGATCTAGAATCTAGATCTAGATCTAGATGTAGATTCTAGGCTTAAGTAGAAATCTAGCAAGTGTGGACGGTTCACAAAAGAAGCATCAACTGCATTTTGGAATTCCAGTGATCGTCAGTCCAGACACAAAGCAACAAGTCTGAACTGTTATTGTCACAGTCGTGAACATGTGAGTATCATTTTCTCAAATATCTTTTAATGTCTTTGTTGAAGTTTTAATAATAATAGAAATCTAGATTTTAGATCTAGACTCTACCTGCTTCTTATTTTGATCTTTTATTTATCGAAGCGGGGCTTTTCTTAGAACAATAAACGTATAGATTTCTAAATGTTAGAGAAGTGGGAATAAGGATTTCGAGTGTTATTTTTAAGACGGATGTTTGTCAACAAATGT